GCGAATACAGCCGCATACATAAACACAAATACAAACACACACACAATCGCACGCACAAGCACACACAAGCACAAATACACACACAAACTCTAACACGCAAACACCAACCTGAACATAAAAACACACAAACACAAAGTAAGGCTACACAGACTCACACACAAACACTAACACACACAAACACCAAGCTAGATAGAAAAAGCACACTAACACAAGGAACACAGTCTCACACAAACACAAAGAAATGGAAGACATACTCACACACAAACACTAACACACACAAACACCAAGCAAGATAGAAAAACACACAAACACAGACTCACACAAACACAAAGAATGGCCACGCAGACTCACACAAACACAAAGAATGGCACCACCGCACGAGACTCAAACACAAACGAACTCCAAGCTAGATATAAAAACACACAAACACAAGGAACACAGACTCAAACAAACACTAGAAAACAGTACCAAAACACTAGCACACACAAACACCAACCTGAATATAAAAACACACAAACACAAGGGACACAGACTCACACAAACACCCCACACAGGAAAGCCCACACAGACTCACACACACAAACACAAAGAAAGCCCACACAGACTCACACAAACACAAAGAAAGCCCACACAGACTCACACAAACACAAAGAAAGCCCACACAGACACACACAAACACAAATAAACCCCCAAACCACAGATAAATACAACACAACACACAAATATTACGAAGGCGATCGAAAGGTTTGGAATGCTAGGAACGACCCAGCGCCAGGAACCCTCCACGTGCGTTAAACCACGTGTTTATTTATCTGTTTATTTATGTTTGGTCAACCGAAATGCTGCTGTTTACATGAAGTTGGGCGTGTGCCTTTAACCTTTCTTAACCTGTATTGTTTTGAAAATAATGAAAATACTTCTCATTGCCGTATTTCCTTCTTCTTCCTCTTCTTCTTCTTCTTCTTCTTCTTCTTCTTCTTCTTCTTCTTCTTTTGCTTGTTTTGTTTTTAATTTTATAGGATATCATGGATATGAATGTATGTTTTATGGACCTGTCTGTCTGTTGCCTTTCTGTGAAATAAACAAACATCAAACCTCTGGTAAACATATAAAAAATGGACAAATTCTCCTCCCTTGCTCCCTCTATTTTTTATTTTCATTTTTTTCTCTATACTATTTTTTTTCTCTCTCTTTTCTCCATCCCTAATTCTATATTTTTCTTTCACTTCTTTTTCTTTTAAATTCTCTTTCATTCCCTATCACTACCGCTTATTCTCTTTCTGTTCTTATTTTAGCTCTCTCTCTCTCTATCTATCTATCTATCTATTTATCTATCTATCTATCTATCTAATTATCTATCTATTTGTCTGTCTATCTATTTATCTATCTCCTCCTCCTCATCATCATTATCGTCATTCTTCTCCTTCTTCTACTTCTTATCATTGTTATTCTACTTCTTCTTATCCTCCTCCTCCTCCTCCTCCTTCTCTTCCTCTTCCTTCCTCTTTTCCTCCTCTTCTCCTCATCATCATCATCATCTTCCTCCTCCTCTCCTCCTCCTCTTCTCTTCCTTCTTCTTCTTCTTCTTCTTCTTCTTCTTCTTCTTCTTCTTCTTCTTCTTCTTCTTCTTCTTCTTCTTCTTCTTCTTCTCTTCCTCTTCCTCTTCCTCTTCCTCTTCCTCTTCCTCTTCTTCTTCTTTTTCCTCCTCCTCCTCCTCCTCCTTCTCTTCCTCTTCCTTCCTCTTTTCCTCCTCTTTCTCCTCATCATCATCATCATCTTCCTCCTCCTCTTCTTCCTCCTCTTCTTCTTCTTCTTCTTCTTCTTCTTCTTCTTCTTCTTCTTCTTCTTCTTCTTCTTCTTCTTCTTCTTCTTCTTCTTCTTCTTCCTCTTCTTCCTCCTCCTCCTCCTCCTCCTTCCTCCTCCTCCTCCTCCTTCCTCCTCCTCCTCCTCCTCCTCTTCCTCCTCCTCCTCCTCCCTCTTTCCTTCTTCCTCTTCTTCCTCGACAACAAACTAACCCATCGACTCTTTTCTGGTAATTAGGTTGTTTATAATGGCAGACAACCGAACGAGACGAAAGAGTGACACAAGAAAGCGAGACTAAGCAACTGAGAGAAAGAAATAAAAAGAGAAAATTAAAGATAAGAATGACGAATGAAACGGACACATGAGATGATGAAGTGATGAATAATTGGAAATTATAATGATAATAATAAAACCCAGAAAAAGGACAAAACCGACAACGAGACATGATATACCGAATAAGTGAAAGAAAAAATGATAATAAAACTCAGAAAACCGACAAAACCCAACATCGAGAGCTCTGGTGGTACGCCAAATAATAAAAAAAACGACAGCAAGACATAATATACCGATTGTTTATGAAATAAAATACAGAAAACCCAACATCACTGATGAATATACCGAATAAACGAAAAAAAAAAAACGAAATTCAAAAACCCGACAAAACCGACAAACCCGACAGCGAGACCCGACAAACCCGACAGCGAGACCCAACCCGACAAACCGACAGACCGAGAGAGCCCCAACCCGACAAACCCGACAGCGAGAGCCCAACCCGACAAACCCGACAGCGAGAGCCCAACCCGACAAACCCGACAGCGAGAGCCCCAACCCGACAGCGAGAGCCCCAACCCCACAGCGAGAGCCCCAAACCCGACAAACCGACAGCGAGAGCCCCAACCCGACAAACCCGACAGCGAGAGCCCCAACCCGACAAACCGACAGCGAGAGCCCCAACCCGACAAACCCGACAGCGAGACCCCCAACCGACAAACCGACAGCGAGACCCCAACCCGACAAACCCGACAGCGAGACCCCAACCGACAAAACCCGACAGCGAGAGCCCCAACCCGACAAACCCGACAGCGAGACCCCAACCCGACCCGACAGCGAGACCCCAACCCGACAGCGAGACCCCAACCCGACAAACCGACAGCGAGACCCCCACCCGACAAACCCGACAGCGAGACCCGACAAACCCCATACCCAACAAACCGACAGCGAGACCTCCAACCCGCAACCCGACAGCCTCTCCTCCCCGACGCAGATGCAACGGGGCGCGGAAAAGCAACAAATAAGGCCTGGCATACAAGCGGCTTCTGGCAGACACTTGAACGCGCGTCTGAAAATATCTTCCATAACAACTGACGAACGGGAAGCGCAAGGGACGCGGCGCCGCTGTGTCTTGGCTTTGAGAGAGAGAGAGGGAGGCTGTGTGTAAAGCTCGGGGGGGGGGGAATTTTTTCTGTCTTGCGTTTCATTAGGGGGGGGGGGAAGGAGAGGGTGGTGGTGGGGGAGAGGGTGGGAGGTAAGGGAAGGAGGGGAGGGTTATTTTTTTTCTTGGGGGGTCCTTTGTTGTTTTTTCGTGTGTATTTTTTTCTCTCGTTTTATTTCTTTTTCTTTCTCTTGATTTTCTTTCCCTTTTTTGTTTCTTATCTTTATTTCTCTCTCTAATTCTCTCTTTTTTTATTTCTTTCTCAGCCATTCCATTTAATTCTTTTTTTTAACAAGGCTTTAAACCTTGTTTTGAAATCGAATTAGATACCGAATAAAAAAAAAAACAATAATAAAGTAAAGAAAACCACATTTCTATCCCACAGGATCATTTTCGTAGATCAAACGTAAAAAAAAGAAAAAAATATATATATACAATATACAACAAAGGACGAAATCCCTAAGCATATTATATAAAATCTTTCCCCAACAATAAACCTTCATCTTCAAAACTCTTTTTCTTTTCTTTTCTTTTTTCTTCTGTTTTTCTTTCTTCTGTCTTTTTTTCTTTCTTTCTATCTTCTGTCTTTTTTTTCTTTTTTTCTTTCTTCTGTCTTTTCTCTTTGTTTCTTCTGTCTTTTCTTTCATTCTTCTATCTTTTATTTATTTAATTCTTCCATCTTTTCTTTTTCTTCTTTCTTCTTCTTCTTTCTTTCTTCTTTCTTCTTTTCTTTCTTCTGTCTTTTCCATTTTCTTCCTTTCTTCTTCCGTCTTTTTTCCTTTCTTCTTTTCTCCATTTTCCTTTCTTTTTCCTTCTTCTTCTTTCTTCCTTGTACTTAATGCATCTGGCGTCCTTTCCCCGAGCGAAGTAGCAGGTGCATTTTTGGCAAGCGAGTCTCGGTCAGCGAGGGAGCATTTTCTTCCGGTTTTGGTGCCTATCGGTGACTGTCTTGCCTTATCTTGCTTTATTGGTTTTCTGTCTATTTCTGTTCCTTTGGTGTTTGATTTTTATTTTATCTTTTTTTTTTTTTTTTTTTTACTTTTTTTTGGTTTATGATTATCCGTTTTTTTTTCTCTTTTTCTTTCTCCTTTTTTATTTTCATTTTTCTCTATATGATATTTTGTTCTCTTTCTTATTATCTATATTGTTTTTCTTCTTCTTCTTTTCATTCTTCTTTTCCTCCTCCTTTTTCTACTTCTTCTCTTCTTTGTTTTCTTTTTCTCCTCCTTCTCCTTCTTCTACTCCTCCTTTTCCTCCTTCTCCTTCTTCGTCTTCTTCTTCCTCTTTTCTTTCTCTTCATTCTCATTTCCATTTTCATTCTCATTCTTATGCCCTTTCTTATTCTTATTATTATTCTTATCATCATTCTCATTTTCATTTTTATTCTTATTCCTATTCCTATCCCGATTCCTTTTTTTCATTCCTAATCTCACTTTTATCCTCATTCTCATTCCTATTTCTATTCCCATTCCCATTTTCATTCCTATCCCCATTCCCTTTTTTTCATTCCTAATCTCACTCTTATCCTCACTCTCATTCCTATTCCTATTCCCATTCCTATTTTCATTCCTATCCCCATTCCCTTTTTTTAATCTCACTCATCCTCGTTTTCATTCTAATCTCACTCTTATCCTCATCCTCCTTTCCTATTCCCATTCCCATTTTCATTCCTATCCCCATTTCTTTTTTTCATTCCTAATCTCACTCTTATCCTCATTCTCATTCCTATTCCTATTCCCATTCCTATCCCATTTTTTTCATTCCTATCACTCCCTCATTCCTATTCCTCTTCCTATTCCCATTCCCATTTTCATTCCTATTCCCTTTTCATTCCTATTCCTATTCCCATTCCCATTTTCATTCCTATTCCTATTCCCATTCCCATGTTCATTCCTCTTTCCATTCCCATTGCCATTTTCATTCCTATCCTCATTCCCCTTCTTTCTCCTCACCGCCCTCCTCTCCCCTTCCCCGCGGATCTTCGGAAGGCACTTGGTTAGCGCAAGCAATTTCCGCCAAGTGATGGAATATCGCCTTACCCTCGAATTTCTCTCATTTCAGCCGACCTCATAATCCTCTCACTCACGTCTTCGGGTCGACTCGCTCATGTCTTCGGGTCGACTCGCTCATGTCTTCGGCTCGATTTCATGTCGGGTCGATTCGTCTTCGGGTCGATTCGCTCATGTCTTCGGGTCGACTCGCTCACGTCTTAGAGTCGACCCTCATGTCTTCTGGTCGATTCATTCATGTCTTCTGGTCGACTCGCTCATGTCTTCGGGTCGACTCGCTCACGTCTTTGGGTTGACCCATTCATGTCGTCGGGTCTCCTTACTCACGTCAGGAGGAGCCATAGAGATGCTGAGGTCATTTCAGGCATGGGCGTGGCATGTTCTTTGAAGTGGACATAGGAGAGGGAGAAGAGAGGGAGAGAGGGAGGAGTGGAAGAGGGAAGATGGGGAGAGAGGGAGAGGGAAGAGGGGAAGAAAGTGAGAGGGTGAGAGAGGTAGAAGGAACACGAGGAAAAGGGGGAGGAGGGAAAGATAGGAAGAAGGGAGAGGGGAAGAGTAAGAGAGGAGAGAGAAGGAGAAAGTAAAATGGAAGAGGGGAAAGAGGGGAAGGGAAATGAATATTCGAGCATTTTTCGTGGGAGAAAAATAATGGATATTTGCTTAGGATTTTGAACGCTGGATCGAGAACGCAACTTATCAGCAATGCTGTTCGTTCGTCGATGTTTGTACTTCTATTTTTTTCTTCTTTTTTAAATCTAATAATATAATAAAATATTTACTGCTCGAGTTTTGAGTGGCATTTATTCATGAAAAAAGTGCGATGACGTCTGATAATTTGATAATTTGATAATTTAATAAGAATGAGAATGTAAATGGAAATGAGAATGAAGAGAAAGAAAGGGGCAAGAAATATACCGTTTATATACGCGGGAGGGTCTGAACCATGTGCTGCCTTCTGTATGTCCTCCTTCTCTCTCCTTCTTCCTCTCTTTCTCTTTCTTTCCATCTTTCTCTTTCTTTTCCTTCTTCTTCTTTCCATTCATCCTATTCCTCTTCTTTCCCTTCCCCTCCCTCGCCCTTTTCCTTTATCTCTTCTTCCCCCGATTTCTCTTTCATCTAATTCTCCTTCTTTCTACCCTTACTCTTATTCATACTTTTTTTTCATTTTCTTTTATCCTTATTTTTCTTTCTTTTCATTATCCTCATCTTTATCCACATTCACACCCTCCTTTTTATCGCCTCCACTTTCCCATTTTCCTCCTCCTCCCCTTTCTCCTCCGCTTCCCCCTTCCCCCTCCTTCTCCTCCTCCTCTTTTTCCCCCTCCACTTCCCCATTCTCTCCCTCCTCCTCCTCTTTCTCCTCGTCCCTCTGTTGGCCCTTTCTGCCGGTTAGTGGGTGGGATGATGCCAAGTATCGCGCCCGCCGCCATCCTCTGCCACGCGCCGCCCCTCCCTCACGCCCACGACGCCCACGTTCACCATGCACGGCGGCTGCGTCTACTTCCTCTGCTAGCTCGGGGATTTGAGGATTTGGGAGTTGGGGAATTTCGGTTGGAAATGGGGCTTTTATTTCGGGCAGGCACGCCGTTGCAATTTGCTCTCTTTCATAGCAAACACACCAGATATATATATGTGTGAGTGTGTAGGTGCGTGGTGTGTGGGTGGCGTGCGTGTGTGTGTGTGTGTGTGTGTGTGTGTGTGTGTGTGTGTGTGTGTGTGTGTGTGTGTGTGTGTGTGTGTGTGTGTGTGTGTGTGTTATATACACATATACATGCGTGTATGTGTGTGTGTGGATATATATATCCCACAGCCTATCATTCCGCTGCAGGACTTAGACTTCTCTCACTTTATCATTGAAAGGCTGTTCGGCAGTACCACCCCTGCCTGATTGGATTCTCCTTCAAATCAATGATATAATGATATACATACTACTGTTTCCCTTCTCCTTTTGAGTGAATAAGAGACGCCGCGAGGACCTAAAAGGCCAAGAAGGGAAAAGCAAGGAGAAAGGGGAGACAGGTAGACAGATGGCGGGAGACGGTGGCCGCGCGTGGACCACAGCCTCTGCTCAGCGGCATAGGATCTCTATCACCTTATGGCTTAAATACACCTCTTTGCTTTAGGGTCTTTGCGAGGGGAGTAGGAAGGGGGGAGGGAAAGAGAGAAAGCCGGAGGAAGGAAGGAAGAGACTGATGGAGAGAACGAGGAAAGGAGAGGGAGAGAGAGAGAGAGGGATAATTGGACATAATTCCTCAAACAAGTTTCATACTTGAGAAAAAAAAAAAAAACGTAAATAGCATCAATAATAGTGAGACTCCCCCCCCCCCCACCCACCCACCCACCCACCTCCCTCACTGACAACCTTCTTTGGGTAAAGTAAAAAAAGTAGCACGAAATACCTTTTTTTCCCCTGACGGTTGTTACAAGACAGCACTCGGGGGAAACAAGCAAGGTAACCTAACAGGTGATCTTGAACGACACCAGGAGAATGACGAAGCGAGAAACAGCCGTAAGAGAACAAGATAGGAACTTGCAGAATAGAACTTATAGAATCGCGCAGTTAAATCTCACAACAAGATATGTATACGAGGCAACGGCGAGGTCTGAGTGAGTGAAATCATTTTCAATTTTGTGCGCGATGGTCGGAGATTTGAATTTACTCTGCATTTCCGTTGTTTTTTTGAGGTCTTGCAAGAATCCCTTTGCAGTAACCGTCGCAAGATTCAGGAGCAGTTGAATTTTGTATATACATTTACATGAGGCGTGTGTGTTGTGTGTGTGTGTGTGTGTGTGTGTGTGTATGTGTGTGTGTGTGTGTGTGTGTGTATGTGTGTGTCTGTGTGTGTGTGTGTATGTGTGTGTGTGTGTGTGTGTGTGTGTGTGGTGTGTGTTTGCTTGTGCGAATGTGTGTTTGTATGTATTTGTGTGTGCGTTTATTTATATGCGTGTTTGTGTGTGTGTGTATGTGTTTGTGTGTGTGAATGTGTGTGTGTTTGTATGTATATTTATTTGTACGTGTGTGTATCTATTTCCATGTGCGTGTGTGTTTCTGTTTTTTTTTTTGCGATTTTATCAGTGTCTGCGCGGGTATGTGGGCGTGCGTTAGAACTATTGCTTTCACTCGAGCACCAATCCGCAAATTCATTCTCGACCCAAACGCTCCTCCAAAATTAAACGACCGAGACAAAAATACGAGAGGCTTCAACGCAGACCGAGATCAAACAAGACCTTTGCAACGAAACTGCTTTTATTTCTCGCTTTGTTGACCGAGGTTGTGTTGACACTGCAAGCCAATCAACACTCCTTCACTTCTGAAACCGCATTTTCTCCACGCAAAAATAACATCAAGGAAGATAATTTACGTATACAGAAAAAAAGGCAGAAAACGCTATGAAACGAAATGAAGATTATTTACGTATACAGGAAAAGGCGGAAAACAAAAAAAAAACGAAAAGGAAGATTATTGATGTAGACAAATGAAAAAAAATAAAAATGGAACAAATCTAAAGGAAGAAAATCTATATATAAAGATATAAATATAGATTCAGTCAATTATCAACCCTTCCAGTTATAGATCAGCTCTCGCTCGCGCTTTGCAAGCCCAGTGCGTGGGACAAGCACGGATTAATTCAAGTTTTAGTCGGCGCTAACTTGTTTATTGGGCTGAAACCTATTACCAACGCAGAATTAAATTTTCGCATTACTATTGCAACAGCGGCCGGGGTCAGAGAGGCGCTGGACTGTGCGGAATTATTAGTTTACAATAAATGGAATGTAATTACGTCATTTGGTGATGGGCGTCATTGAGTTAATGGAAAGTGAAATATTGTACAGGTGTGTTTTGAGGGTGGAGGGTGGAGGGGGGGGGAGGAGAAAGTGTGAATTGTGTGAATTGTGAATGCTGTTTGTGTCCATGTGGGTGTGGTAGGGTGGGCATTGTGATTTTGTTTGTTTTGTTTGTTTTGTGTGTTTGTGTGTATGTGTGGGTATATGTTAATGTGTTCGTGCGTGGGTGTGTGTGTGTATGTGTTTGTGTACAGGCGCATTCGCATTTGTGTGTGTGTGTGTGTGTGTGTGTGTGTGTGTGTGTGTGTGTGTGTGTGTGTGTGTGTGTGTGTGTGTGTGTGTGTGTGTGTGTGTGTGTGTGTGTGTGTGTGTGTGTGTGTGTGCATGTACATTCTTATGTATTTGTGTGTGATGTGTTGTGCTGTGTGTGTATAAACAGAACCCGCACACGCAGACACCTGGTATCCCACACAGGGCCACACACACGTTCTTTTACTGTATATCAAACATTTCTTCCTTCCGCAAAACCTTAATTCCAACACAGTCTTAAAAACTTTCTTGGCCCAAATAAACTTCCTCCAAAGAATTCGAAACCACAAAAGCAACAAATAAACCAAGGTAACAAGAAGCCTGTAAGAAAAAAAAAAAAAAAAACACGGAATCAAAAGCCCAGTTATATAATCTAGGATTATTTCCGAAATAAATTTCCTTCGTAGAATGCTTTTCTTTTTTCTTTTTTTCTTTTTTATCGAGGAAACTTTGTCCTAAGGAACTAAAAACTTCCCTAAAAAGATGGATAAAGAAAGAAAAATACTTTAGAGAAACACAAAGGCAAAAAAAACAGAAATACATAGAAAGAAAAAGTAAACATAGACCTAAAAAGAAAAAAAATCTGAAACCGAAACGAAAATAAAACGAGATATAAAACTGGAGGTCAAGCCAGGTCACACTCACCGCACACGGGGTACAGCACGAGCAGGGACGCGGCGAGGAGCACTCCGGTCACCAGCGCGGATCTGAAGATTCCCGGCGACATCTTGAAGGGTCACGTGACGTCCGTGACCTTCAGGAGCTGTGCAGGGAGAGGGAGAGAGAGGGAAACGAGATGAGACTCCGGCGATAAAGCTAGGTCAAAGGAGGAGATGAAGAGGCCGGGTTGATAGGATTATTCGGAGGATGTGAGATGGAGCTTTTTTTTTTTTTGAGGAGGGGGGGGCGGTAAAAGAGAGAGGGGAGGGGAGGGAGGGAAGGAGGGAAGAGAGGAAGGGAAGAGAGAAGGAGCGAGGGAGGGAGAGGGAGAGGGAGGGAGGGAGAAATGGAGAGAGATAGATAGATAGATAGAGAGAAAGAGAGAGAGAGAGGGGGGGGGACGGGAAGGAAAAAGAGAGAAAGAGAGAGAGAGAGAGGAAGGGGAGAGGAAGAGAGAGAGAAACAGACTGACAGACAGAGAAAACAAAATAGAGGGAAAACACATAATTTCTGGTGATAATTCATCATGAAATACAAAATAGCATCAGTAAAATCTACCAACACATTCCTCTAACATGAGAGTATTAAGCCACATTTAAATAACTTCACAACATCCTTCATGTAAGATCAATCAGTTTGTGCAAGCATTCATACCGCAATATGCACGCCCTTCAGTTGAGTAAATAACTTTAAATATAAATCTATTTCTACCGAGATATATGTCTATTACATTAATCTTTACACACGTATACCAAATGTGTTCAGCATTTCCCAGAACAGAATAATGGATTCCTGAAACCCATCCCCACAACTCCAAAAAAAACAAAACAAAAAAAAAATCTTTTCATTCGTGTGAGTACTCTTCCCCTCTCTATCTCTCCCCTGTCGGCTATTTACGTAAATGAAAATGCAGATTATTTCCTGTGCACCTTTTCGTTTCCATTCTCTCCCCTTCCACCGTTCGCGAGTTCAGCTTTTGGATTCAATCCCCTTTTTTAAACTACGTGGTGTTTAAAGTGGATTGGCATCATCAGTGTCTTTATGCTGCACATATGCTGGCTTTCCTTTTCCTTCGGGGAGGCATTAATACGTATGGCATTTCCTTTGAAAGTCGTCCCCGCCGAGCACTTCCGTGGATCTTCCGAGAACACTTAAGAATGCTGGGAACGATGTCTGAACGAGAATGGGAATGGGTAATGGAGGTGGCGAAGGGACAGTTTCTGGGCGATTCCCGAAAGTTTCTGGGTTATTTTGTAGCGAGGGGAATACCTCACCGTCATGTTATTCTCGAATGTTCTGGCTGAGCGGGTCAAGGTCAAGCCGGATCGAGGGGAGCTGTTTCAGCGTGGCTTGGCCTCGCTCTCTCTCTCTTCTCTCTCTCTGCTCTCTCTCTCTCTCTCTCTCTCTCTCTCTCTCTCTCTCTCTCTCTCTCTCTCTCTCTTCTCTCTCTCTCCTCTTCTCTCCTTTCTCTCTCTCTCTTCTCTCTCTCTCTCTTCTCTCTCTCTCTCTCTCTTACTCTCTCTCTTCTCTATCTATCATCTTCTACGTCTTCTCTCTCTCTCTCGTTTCTTTCTGCTGCTTATCTCTATCTCTTTCTCGTTCTTTCTTCGCATCGCATTGAAGACTACCAGTATATCTTTCTTTCTTTATTCTATTCTCATGAGAGATGTGATACTAACTATCATTTTCTCTATATCTTTCTCTCTTTCTTCTCTTTCTACCTAAGATTACTTCTCTATATATCATCTCTAGTCTTCTTCATCTCTTTCCTTCTTACTTTACTCTTTTTTACTTATTTGTTCTTCTATTCTTCCTTCATTCTCTCTTCTCTTCCTCTTCATCTTCTCACTCCAGTCTTACATCTCTAACTCTCCTCCTCTACATATTACGTCTTCTCACTGGGCTCCTCTCTCATCTTCAATCTCCTTGCTCTCTCTTCTCATCTGCTCTATCTATCTTGATTCTCTTATCTATATCCCGTCTTTTCTTTTATTCTATTCTTTTTCTCTCTAAATCGGCTCGTCTCTCTCTTTAAGTGCTAATCTCTTGTACTTTTCTCTATTTATTCTCATCATCTTCGTTAATATTTCGTCCATATTGCCTATACTCTCTCTCTCTTCTCTACTTCATCTCTTATCTCTTCTCTCTCCTATCTCCGCTCTCTCTCTTACTCTCCTACGTATTACGTCTGATCTCGATCTCCTCTTCCTCCTCTCTCATCTCCTCTCCTACTCCTCTCTCTTATCTTCTCACGTCTCCTCGGAAGGGTTACTTCTTGTGTGTTCACAGACTCTGTCTCATCTGTTTCTCCCCTCTTCTCCTATCGCCATGGCCACATAACACATTCCTTTTCCATTTCTTTTCTCTCTTGCCTCTGTTTCAAGTACTCTATATTCCTTTCTTCTTTATTCCCTTTCTGCTTTCTACCACTAATTTTCACTTCCCTCCATCCACTCTCTCTTTCTCTTTCACCCTCCATCCCACTCTCCCTGCCCTCTCCTTTCTTCCTCACCTTTCCCTATCCGCCTCATTCCCTCCAATCTACTCTTCCTCCCTTATTCATCTTCCTTCATACCCTTTAATACCATCTCTTTCTTTCGCTTTCCCTGTCACGCTCTTCCCTCCATGCGCTCCACTCTCGCTACCCTTTGCTTTCTCTTTCCCTGTCCCCTCTCCTCCATGTCCCGCTCATCCTTCCCCATTCGCTTTCTTTCCCGTTTCCGCCTGTCTACTATCTTTCCTTCATTCATATTCTCTCCTTCCTCCCTTTCTTTCCCCATTCTCCGGCTGTCCACTCTTCCCTTCATCCCACATGCCGTCTCTCTATTTTACTTTATCGCCTTTTTCTGCCCTGTCCCCTCCTCGTCCTCATTCATAGCACTGCCTTCCTCCCTTTTCATTTTCCCTTTTCCTTCATCTACCACTTTTCTTCACTCACCTTTCTTTCCCATTCACCTGTCACCCATACTTCCGCTTCATTCCACTTTCTCGTTCCTCTCTATACTCCATTTCTTTCTCGCTTTCATCCTCTAGTCACCTCTTTTTCCTTCATACCCACTCTCGCTCCATCTCCGCTTTCTTTCCCCTTTCCCACTGTCCACCTTCCCCTTCATTCCCCGCTCATCCCTCCTTTGGCCTCTTATCCTGGTTCCTCCCCCTTCATCAACTCTGCCTCCCTCCCTTTTCCTATTCCAATCTCCTCTTCCCTTTTTTTCCTTTCCCCTGTCCCCTCTTCCCTCCATCCCACTCTCCCTCCCTCCCTTTCTTTCGCCTTTTCCCTTCATCCCACTTTCTTCACTCCCTTCTTTTCCCTTCCCTGTCCCCTTTCCTTCATCCCCCTCCCTCCCTCCTTTTCTTTCCCTCTTCCTGCCTCCCTCTTCCTTCACTCACTCTCCCTCCCTCCCTTTTCTTATCCTTTCCCCTGTCCCCTCTTCCCTCCATCCCGCTCTCTTTCCCTCCCTTTCTTTCCCTCTTCCCTTCATCCCACTCTCCTTCACTCCCTTTCTTTCCCTTCCCCTGTCCCCCCTTCCCATCCCCCCTCCCTCCCTCCCCTCACCTGGTCGAGTGCCAAGTCATGCCGGCTCCCTCACCTGCCGTCTCTCCCCGCGCGCTCCCCTTTTCCCTAATCCCTATGCACTCACAGACGTACGTTTCCCCTTTTACTCTCTCACACTCACGCAGACATACGCACGCACATACACACGCACACACTCACGCCCATGGCCTTCCCCAAAGCCCCTAAGACTCTCCTCTCCGAGCCAACAACTTCCCGAATTACTCGGTCCTGTGTTCGCGATCCGAAAATGAGTCGAATGCCAGCGGCGGGGACGTGCTTAGTAACCTGCTGCGGCGATAGGTCGGTGGCGGGTTTTTTCGTCCTCGTCCTTTTTGTGTGTGTGTGTCTCGTGTGCGGGAATTACGTAACTTTAGGGGAGGGGGATGATGAGGGGTTGAGTCTGTGTGAAATGGAATGGATTGATTTGGTGTTGTCTTTTGTGTTTGCGTTTGTGTATCTGTATGTGCGTGTGTTTAGTTGGCCTCATCCGACGAATATGAACATGAAGCCAGCAGTCATCTCCCTTCCCTTTCGCATCTCCTCCGCCGCTCCCCGTTAATCCCACAGCTCTTGCGCTCAGAGCAGGTGGAATGCGGAGCGACGCTCTCTTCCACCTCCGAGGGGACGGCTGGCCCCCTTGCGCACTGCGTCTGCAGTCCGCTCGCCTGACCTCCGGCGCCGCAGCAGAGGTCAAGGCGCCGGCGAAGGGCGGCCTGGCTCCGAGGGAGGCGAAGGGGCCCTCCCGGAGCGCCAGGAGGCCAGCCCCTTCACTCACCTTGCAGCTGAGGGCTGTGCGCGCTGCGTGAGTCGTGGTTCTGAAGAGGAGGAGGAGGAGAGAACAGACGGCGCCAGGGTGCCACCTTCCGCACGCACTCACACACTCGCCACTACTGGTGCCACGGCCAGCTCCGTGTGCCCATCTACCCAGTGCCTGGCAACCAGCCCCGCTTGCGGACGGCCGCAGAAGAGGGCGGGCATGCTGGCGACCAAGGAAACGAGTGGGCGTGCGGGCGGAACGCGGGGCGGAGGGCGGGCAGGTGGCATAGCTTTCCATGGGCGGAGGCAGGTAGGGCATCGCGGCCCGCGGCCCCGGCGCCAACACCTGCCATGCACGTGCGGGAGGAGATAGCGGGTATTTATGCCTGCGATGGCTGCCCCGGTGGATTATATAAACGCGTTTGCTAAACCCTTTTCCTCCTTCTGTCCTGTGTGCGTGTTTGTGTGTGTGTGTCCAGTTGACCTCACCCGACCTACTTGAAACGACCAGCCGTATCTCTCCCATTCCATCATTTTTTTTTTTTTTTTTTTAATAATAATATAATAATAAATCAAAGAAAGATCGAAAGAAAAAAGATTCCAGTTGTTTCCTCCCTTTTCATCACGGCGATTCCGTGATACCTATACACGATCGGTTCAGGTGGTGGTATTCTTGAGGTCTGAGTGCC